ACTAAGTCTATTGGGGGAGAGAAAAACACAATATTATACATTAAAATTTGGTAAAAGCCAGAAGCTGATGCTACTGGTCATTCTCTGATGCTATGAGCAAATGTTGGTCCCTGAATGGAGAGGCCAACAGCATGCCTCCACTTATGGGCAGCTGGATATGCTGCACGAGTGGCAACTCAAAGGAAACTCCTGAAATACCTTTTTAAAAGACATCAGGCATGTGCAAAACCTGCATAAACAGGGCAAATTTCAAACCAGATTCATTTTTTGACATGACTAGATGGTCTCAAGTAAGCTTCTCCAAACAGCTATCAATGAGGAGAGAGAGGGCCTCCAGTACTGAAACATATCACAGAATTAAAGAGACACTACTTTTTCCCATATTTTTGACTTACCATCCTTCCCTCCAGAAAAAAGAATCTTAGTGTTTCTAAAGTACTGCAAATACTAATTTTCCACAAATAAAAACAGGTGGGGCATTGCCCCAAAATGTACCTATGGAAAAGCCTCCACTGCTCTATTGCTTAGGGCCTTTGCTAAGTCCTTGTAAAAGGTTTGCACGTGCTATTTGCCAATTTCCAATAGTGTGTCAGTGTGGTACTCCCTGAATCTCCTCCTCAATTGAAATAATGCAGACTATAATCACAGATACTTTCTCCCTTAGCACCTTTAGATTAGCTTCACACATGGCCAAATGTCACAACATTCATTTAATATATGTTTTAGTGGAAGGAGTTTTATAATTGGTCGAGGAGACATGGCGAAGACCGACTTGTGTAGGATTTTTGATTAATCTAGGATTTTAATTAGAGATGCCAGAGTACACGTCAAACATTTGCCATCTTGTCTTGTAGGGAGCCCTTAATGAAAGTTGCTGATTTCCAACAATCCAGCAGCCAGTGCTAAGCATCAGCAAGGTGTGTATGGGAACTTATGATTGTGTCATTCCTGCTTGCCCAATATATATATGTAGGCATTGGAAAAAGATGACACATGAGATGGACTGCAGGGAGAATGATGCAAGAAGGATAACAGTGTACCAGGGGCCAGTATCAGAATGACACACATAATAAGACACAGTGCATATAGTTCCATGTTAAAGAAGATTTCGGCTGAAATAATCAGTTTGTTTCCACTTTATTGAGGCACAAACAACAAGCTTTCTCAGTGTGCATCTGTTCCAAGTGCACGTTATCCTTAAATAGTTATTAGTTGCCAGCTATTATATTGCACCAAGCAAATCTCCATTTCTGTCCAAGCATAAGAACAGCAAGCATATTAATCACCATCATTGTCCACTATGGGGATGGTAATAATGATTGGAAAAAAACCAGTTCATGCAGCAGCTAAAACTAAAGTTGTCCTGGGTGTGTGGAATGAATGGAGCTTTCAGGAACAGCTAATGTGATAATAATAACTGGGGAATATCTGATTAACAATAAATGTAGTGACTGCACTATATCGTGAACAAAAAATATAAAGAGGAGGCCAGTAGCAAATACTTGATCAAAATGCCTTAACTCTATAAACACAGTGCAAAATACGGCAATACACGAAAACACAGGAGTAAATGTAATTCCTGCTCTGCACACTTAGACATAAGTCTGAATAACTGATAGAATCAAACTCTCATGAAGTTAAAAATGCATTAAGCTACTGGAAGCAGGTGCAGGCATCCTGTGCTCAGAATTCAGGCCTGAATCCAAATACAGTTTATGAAAGGAAGAGGCAAAATTAGCAGACTCTATCCTTCCCCACCTCCTAATTTTGCTACAATTTCCCAGTCCTGCTAAATTTACTTTTCTAGTGATTTTTGTAGAGCATCACTATTTATAATGCCTCCTGGGTAGCACATCTGTCATTAGACAGGTACTGCATCAGAATGCAAAAAAAAATGAAAAGATGATTTATCTTTACTGATGACAGTGGAAGCTGTGATGGCAGATTTTTGTTTTCTATGGCACAAATGACGCAGACAAAATAAACCGCCGTTCTCCTACGGCTTTGTTCGCACCTGCTGTAAAGAGGCCATGGTTTCAGGTCAACACACAACTAAACATTATGCTTACTGATACAGAGGACAAAGTTAATTGGTTAATTACCTGTTAATTAAAGAAAAGTTGAGAGCTGAGCTGTGCAGCCCTGATGAACAATGATGCATGCTGGGAAATACATTAATTGATGTTGATTCATCTCTTGACACATGGGTATCCTGGCATGGACTTATATGCCAGCTGTCTTGGATTTCCTGATACTCTCCCTAGCTTTGGATCTCTCTTCCAATTAGCTGGTATATTGGCATTTCAACAGGATTTAAGTTGGGTATTTAACCCCATAACTAGCATAAAAGAAAATGTTTGATAGATCAGTACAGGATTCCTAAGTGATGTATTATAATTTTATCAAAATGTGATATGTATATGAGTTTAAGATATATATGTTGGTGTCCGTGTCCTAAAGTCTGAGCTATAGACATGAGTATCTTTATCTGCTGTAGAAGGATTTATGGCATATTATATACAATGTTGTGCATCCCTACCGTTTTCCTGTAATCAAGCCTGTTTTTGTCCTGTAAATCACACTAGAGGGATCATAAAGCATTATCTGGTCCCTTATTGGGTGGTACAATAGTGGTATGATCATTAGGAGATCTTTGTAGTCTAGTGGTTTCAGTAAGTCTACTGCACATGCATTTGTTTTTCAACTACTGTATTTGAAATAAATACTTATAGAAAATCACGAGGTGTATGCAATCTGAAGGTATATTGTTTAATTATGAGACAACCGCCTGTTTCCTAGTTTTAGCAACATGCAGTTTTGTCAAACTACCTACAAGATGATGTGCAAGACTGCTCAAAAAGTACAGGAAACATTTGGTTGGGGTCACTGCTACAAAAAGAGGTGCTACCAGTAAATCTTACAAATGACAAATTATTGCCTGTGGTTACAGTGATGGGTGATGGGTGTCCAATAAGCAGATGCATTATTATATTAGTTATATCTGAGGATTTTTTTTGTATATCTTATTTTAAAAAACTGAAATGATTAGATCACATTGTAGATAAAAGTAATGCAAAGATGCAGGTAATTCAAAAGGTTCTCAAGCTTTCTCTCAACACTATGTGATGTGTATGTTATGTGATAGTGTATGATAAACTATTCATATTGTGTATTCAAACAAAGAGCTATATGGAAAAAAGAGGGGGTGTTTAAAGATGGAGATTTGCATTGTTTTCGACAATAATAGTGTAATCCTGTGAAATTAAAATATACCAATTTACAATCCTTTACATCTACTGTTAAATAAGAAACATTACATTTTCGTTCTAATCCAGCTGGCGAGATGCAATAAAACTTCAGTACAGGGTTAATCATCTTATGGCAATGAACTGGAAGGTGCTCGTTACCACGTGAAAGCCTCATACATCTTTAATTGTTGTTCCCGCTGCATTAAATTGATGCAGGAAATTAAAATTCATGATGTTTCGGGGTACCAGTGCTCATATTTGTTGGACCAACTTTGCAGTAGCCCCTCTACTTATCTAAGTGCAGCTAACATTAGAACCCTGCAGATATCAAGTTACAATCTTCCCTAAGTGGCTCACTATCCGATTAAAATCTAAAATTGCACAGCTCATTACAGACTATTTTCAGTGTTTGGCTCTGTTAATTCTATGCAATGCTGCAGTAGTAATAAGCTGCTTCAAGAACAAGGTAATTATTACTGTACGTTGTTTGCGCTCTCTTAACTCCCTGCTGCCCAACACATCCAGGGAATGAGCTATACACAATGCACTGTACACCCATTCTGGTAGTCTGCATTCTTTTGCAAAAATGTTTTGCATTAATACAAATTGTGAATCAGTGCTCTATAATGTACAACCAGCAGTATAAGGCTTGCAGGGGCTCCAAGGTATAGAGGCATCAGAAGACATATACATCTATAGCAGAGATCTCTGTTACTTGCTCGTAGAATGTTTTATATGGTCTCACTATGGAATCATTAACATTCAGCAATGGTTAAGCTAAATGAGAAAAAGTGCTCTGGCCTTTAAACAGTATATGAGTATGTCTACTTATCTGTACTTCCTGAATACAGCTGGAGTGATGGCAGAACATTCATTTTAATACATCAAGTGCCTAGTTCCGTACTTTCATGTCTGTTGGTAAAATGTCTCGAAACAAGTCTGGATACTAAAGCAGCCTCTACAGTCAGCAATGCCTGCAGTCTTTTGAACTGCTATGAGGTCTGATAACACAGATCACACTGGATCAAATCAATAAAAGCTGACAGTAGTCGTAGTGGGCTTCGATTGTACTTTTTTTTTTAGCAGTCTGTGTTCAATATCTGTTCACCAGTTTCTCTTCTCATTTATATAGTCTCTCCGTGTATATGTGTAAATCCCTCACTGCTATAATCATGCTGTCTTCATGCATATCTCCATCTCTGTAGTCTTCATTATGCATTATCTTCCTACTCATTTATTGACATATGCATAGTCTCCTTTTGGCATTTGCTTAATTAACCCCATACAACCCCAAAAATACTCAGACACCTTGTATTGGGAAAATTAATATCACAGCTTTAATGATATAAAAAGTAACATGTAAATTTATAAGGTCATTGTCAACACAATACATGGTACACTATTGACCCCCATACCTTTAACATAACTACCCCGACAATGACCCACATAACAATTATTGATACCAATTATAACATATAAATAAATTAATGTAAACATGAACCAATACCACCAAGGGAATGATTTTCCAGCTTTCACAATGCTACACACACCAGGTTCGGAGCTACTGACGAGCTCGAACCTATCAATACCATTCCAAACGTAACTGTTCTTAGCAAACTAAAGCTAACATACCTATGACCAACTGACCTTCCCCCAACTTTTCAATCCATCCCCCGCCACAGCTCAGAGCTTGACTCCTTAAGCTACCTGAGCGACCTCCCCCAACAAGAACACAGCTTTCTGTAAACCATCCTGAAAACCAAACAACATAAAGTCCAGACCCACATCAGAAAGATGAAAACCGTCCGGCTGGAAATATCCCGGAAGCTTCGCCTCCAAGTCACGGTGTCTAACGACCACCGCCCCCAATCAACAAATATAATTTGCCATGATTTTGTTCACTCTACCCCTGCTCTTTACTAACGCCCTCACATCCCTAGCGTGACGCCATTGTAAACGGGGAATCATCTCGGACCACACTACCATCACCCTGGAGTCCACCTGCCTCAAAGTATCAACATACATTCATTTACTCAATCAGTTCCCGCTGCGGGACCAGACCCAAATCGTTCCCCCCAGCGTGAACCAACACTACATTCAGCACCTGACCTTCACCAATCCGCCTCCACAAGTCACAACACCTCCCCCCCTCCGCCAGCTGGAACCCCAAAAACCAAACCACAAAACTCGGACTACTGAACAAGGAAAGCCCAGCTGCATGCCGTGACAATGAACTGCGGCCCTCCTTTGTGCCCAGTAGACGAACGAGTGTCCAATCACCCAGACATTCCAACCTGTGGGAAAAAACTGGTTAATACAAGTAACAAACATGTTCCACATTTTCAACCTGTAACGAAAGAACATAACACCCGTACCCTCCAAACACCCACCTTAACCTAAACAAAACAGTCAGGTCTTATATAAGTTTTAAAATGCACGGATTCCCACCTGTCGATCTTTTTAACCAAATCCTCAGCCAATCCCAGCTGTGTATCCTTGGTCGTGTCCCCGATCCTGAAAGAGTGCGACGGAGCCAATTCCATACGTGCCAGAGCAAACCGAAAGACCCTGAGGAACTGGAACCTCGACTGGGACCAAAAACGAACCCCGCACCTTTGTACGTATTGCCCGAAAAGCAAAAGCAGAAGACAATGGACAAACTTGAACAAAAAAGTAAATCTATACTGTATAAAATACTAGTGTAGATTAAAGGGGTAGCACAAAAAATATATACAACCTGTAGATAATACAAGAAACTTCCTTCACAAGATCTAAAATATAAGAAAAATCACACAATAGTGAAGCATGTACAGTCAATGTATAATACACTCCCGGAGGTAGAGAACTTACAGGACCAAACTGTAGATCTGAACTTGTCTCCCTTCCATAGGGTATATAGATAAAAGGTTCTTCTCTCTGGAAGCTTGTGTATACGGACCAAAGGTGCAAATTCAAGACGCTCAATCCTCAGAAGAAAAAGAGGTATATAGAGCAGTATTGTAGATAAAAATTAATTTATTTATACAAAATGCACTTACATCAAATGAAGCTCCATGTCACCACTAGCAAGTGGTACCCAGGAGAAGGAGTCTCTCTGTAGCAGAATGTAAACATATATATATAAAAAAATACACTAAAAAAACACACATAAAAAAACAAAAAAAGGGGAAGTAAATATATATATGTAAAAAAGTATATATCCAACGCGTTTCGTCTTTTGAAAGACTTCTTCAGGGATAAAGAATTAAAAATTCTGTTTTCTTTATATAGCCTTCACCACTTGAAATTGCAGCGGAAAATTCATTCACTTCCGGGTTCGAACTTCTCGGTTTTTAATTGGACATCCATCGTGATCACTTCCGGTGGATGTAACAAGATGTTTTCATTTCCGCGTTCCAGGCTGGAACGCATGGCGTCCATAACGTGCGGCTAGATGTATTCATTTCCGCGTTCCAGAACTGGAACGCATAGCGTTCATAACGTGCGGCTCTATGCCATGACACTTCCGCGTTCCACCGTGGAACGCACGGACAAACCCAGGCGCACAAGCTGCATATGGGTACCGAACGTCCCAGAGTGGGATACAGGGTGAAAAATACCAATGACCATCTATTTACATAATATGAAATAATATACAAAACAAAAGAATATAAAAACAATAATATGTCTGTCAATATATGGATAACATCCAAGTACTATATGAAACACAAACTAAAAAATACATAATATAAACATGTATATATATATAGGAGAATGGAGTATATATATACCCAAATCCATATCTATATATACATCCATATCTAAAAACCATACCTATAAAAATATATATAAATAGGGAGAAAACAAACATAAAAAAATCAAACATGTAACATAAATAATTACAAAAGTCCCGCCAGATCAATATCTTGATTAAGACCTCTCTTAAGGGTATTAAGTGTGTAAATCCAAAAGGCCTCTTTTTTGGCTAGATCATTAGTTCTATTTCCCCCTCTCCAATGAGGAGTTACTTGATCTATACCAATGGCAATAAAGGTAGACCAATCAAATAGATGACAAGAATTACAATGATTTGGGACACTATGTTCCGTTTTTTGGTTTCTAATATTATTAAAATGCTCCCGGAGTCTAATGTGTAGGGTCCTGGTGGTTCTTCCCACATACTGAGCTCCGCAACCACATTGTAAAAGGTAAATCACATATGTGGATGTGCAATGGATAAATTTCTTAATAGTATATGTTTGATTAGTATAAAATCCTACAAAAGAGGTAGATTTTCTTTTTTGATAAACACAAATGGACAAACTTGGACCCCTGGCAACGAAAACAGCACTACCGAGCAACCCTTACCGAAGACGTCAGTCTTAGACCGGCTCAAATGCAACACCACCCAATCTTCCCATATTTCGACCTCCGAAAGTTGCAAACCCCCTCCACCATAACGATTGTTACTGACCAGCTTGCTCACCCGAAATGCCCCGAAAAAGGCACAGCTGAAGGCCACGGAAAACAGCTGGACTTCATACTCCGAAGAACAGACCTCAGGGAGCGCGCCAAACAAACATCGGATTACCTCATATGATACCGGCTGCCGCGCGTCCCTCGACGTCCGCCCCTTCCTCCTTCATGTACCCTTTAACCCCTTAAGGACACAACTTCTGGAATAAAAGGGAATCATGACGGACTATTTCCGTCATGTGTCCTTAAGGGGTTAAGTGTTTGCCGGACAATTAAATGCTTTGTCATGTCCTCCCAACCATTCAGTTTGAATAAGAACGCTAGCGCTGTCATGTTTCGCCCGACAACCGAAGGGGAAGTGCCCGAAGCAAACAACCTACACAAGAACCATAAAAGTGTCTCAAACCTGGCCTCAGCCGAGTCGTGATCCCCTGCGCAAGCCACTGCCCTGTCCCAATCCTGCCAAATCTTCAAGTAGGCCACCCATGTGGAACCAGGGAGTCCGCCAAGCAAGATGTCCCAAGCTGCCACACCTCCCCCGGACAGGGAACCCCTTCTTCCTGCCCACCCTGAGCCGCTGACCGAAACCTCTCCCACTCCAAACGAGAGAGTGAGTAAACAACAACATTCAAAAATGCAGGCACAAGTTGCCACATTAAATTTCATGCAATACAATACAAAGTGGCGAAGTAGCCGAACCACAGGGATGGAGGAAGTCGATAAACTGTTAACCGCTTCCACTACTTACATGTTATCAGAGAAAAATATCACCTTCCTTTTCTGCAACTGCCGCCCCCATAGAGCCAGTGCCACCACTAACTGAAAAAAATTCCAGAAACGCCATGTTACGAATAATCGGCTGGCCCTCCACGCTTCCGGCCATGGTTCCGCACACCACTGCCCAGCAAAATAAGCCCCAAACCCCACGCTCCCCGATGCATCCGTAAACAATTCCAAATCCGGCAAAGCCACCGCCACCCCCTGAAAAAAGACTCGACCTTTCAAATCCCGCATAAAAACTGTCCATAGCTCCAAATCGGCCTTCATGGCCGCTGATACCCGTATAAAGTGGTGAGGAAACGAGACGCCACTCGTAGCCCTAGCCAAGAACCTATTAGAAACCCGACCCATCAGAACCACGCGACAAGCAAAATTTATGCCCAATCAAGGACTGCAGAGCCCGCAGCATAACTTTTTTCGCACCTTGGACCTCAGCTACCGCCTGCCGAAGAGCAATCAGCTTGTCCTCCGGCAGGCGACACACCCCTTGCATGGAATCAATCTCCAAGCCCAGAAAGGATAAACAGGTCGTTGACCCACAGTTTTATCCCCTGCAAGCAGCACGCTGAAAACTTAAGCAACCCATTCCAGTGTTCGCAAGCCCACCCTGTACACTTCCGACCCCGCCGGCCAGACACAAAGAAAATCATCAAGATAATGGACCATGAGTTTCGTGCCCGCCTCCATCCAAACCACCCACTGCAAGAAGGAACTGAATTTCTCGAAATAGGCGCACGAGAGGGAGCAACCCATAGGCAAGCATAGATCCACAAAATACTGCTCGTCAAAAAAGCATCCCAAGAGATGATGACAGTCTGGGTGAATCGGCAGTAAGCAGAACGCCGCTTCCACATCCACCTTAGCCATCAATGCCCCTCTGCCCGCCCTCTGAACCAACTCGACTGCATTGTCGAATGATGTATATGAAACCAAGCAAAATTCTCTGTCAATATCATCATTCAAAGACAATCCTTTCGGATACGACAAATAATATATTAGCCGGCACTTACCCAATTCCTTCTTCAGTACCACCCCCAGGGGGAAACCGGAAGGTCAGCCAATGGCGGTGGTGAAAAAGGGCCCCGCCATCCTCCCCAATTGGACGTTCTTCATCAGCTTTTCCCGCACAATCCCAGGAAACTCCCCACGGATTTCAAATTGACATTGAACCCTGTCCCTCTCCCGGAACGGAATGACAAAACCGTGCTCGAATCCACCCCTCAGTAGCACTGCAACCGCTTGATTACCATAGCGGTTTAGCCATGGCTCCATCGTGCCTACTCTGACCGGCGTGAGTCCCAGTGGAAGCTTCCCCTGGTACCCCTCCTGCCGGGGAAGACATGCCCCACATGAAGCATCAACTATGGCTATGTGCCCCCCCCACATCCCGAGTATGCTTGAAACGGTAGGCTGCATTGACTCTCATTGAATAGCCAACAGAAACCTTTTCTCTGGACGGCCGATGAGACTGAGGCAGGTCCCACGTGTCTTAAAGGGGGACACCTTCTGCACCATCATTAGTTTCATCTATAGTGGGAGATCCATCTGATCCCATCTCATCCCTGGGTCTACCGTGAGGCGTTGACGAAATTGTTTGTCATACCATCACCATGCTAAGCCGCCATATGTCTGATACGCCTCCCAAATCCCGTCCAGATAATAGGATAATTGAGAGCAGCGGTCTAGGGACTTCTTACCTACCATGTTGGCCAGTATGCAGAAGACCCTGAGCCAGTTACC